CTGTTGACATGCTAGAAGATCGATGATTGCGTGTCCCCGTTTCATGTTTATTGATGTGTTTAATTTTGTTTTCAGACTGGTGAATAGTTAAAAAAAAAAAAAAAAGAGAGGGGGAATTACACTTAGCGCAGAAAATAATTGAGAAAACAATTGGGAAACAATTGAGAAGCTACTTTCACTAATGACTATGCTTCCGTCCACAGCAGAGGATATTTGAGATTCCACCTACACTGGTGCAATTGGAGTTCCTCGTGGTGTACTGGGTGGGTATAAATTGGTTAACCAGGTTGCTGACGGAATCAGCTACCTCCACTACAGTGTCCAGAAGCTTGCAAATTATACTGAGGAAGCCATTTTGGCTATTGGTAGTGAAACAATTGACAGTCACCTCTATGACGACGTTCCCGGGACCGCACAGCGGTGGATGTGCTCTTGGCTGAGGCCAATGGAGCATGTGCGATGTGTGGTGAACAGGTTGTTCAACCACGCCCTGAGGGCCCCGCACACTGAACCGGACCATTCGGGCATGACCACGCCCTTGTCGTCAGTAATAGTGGGTAAGACGTTTATGACGTTTAAAAATAAATAAATAAATAAATAATTCCCCTGGCAATCTTGACATTGTGTGGATGTTGCTGCCTTTCCTGTATCAAGGCTCTGCTTATCCGTTTTATCACTACGGCCGGTAAACCCACGACGTCTAAAGTGAATGGAATGTACCCTCTGCTGTTACTTTTGGATGGCAGTGATTCTGACGTAGAAAAAGGGCTCAGTTACTAGAGACATGATTTCACTTCAATAGCTAAATGTCATAGATGATTTTTAACCATCTTTTCCGCATTCTTTTCTTGATTATTTGCAAATCTGGTGATGACCTGATGCATTGGTTATGCTTGCAATGAAGAATGCTTATGCCTGCAATCATTAATTGCACACAAATCCACCTTGGGCTGAGAGATCCCATCACCTGACAAGAACCAAAAACCCAAATCTACTGATCGAGCCCCAGCTGCCCCATATTAGTTACACCATTCAACAGAGGTTGATTACACGGTATACGGGCAAAATAACCCCGGTGAAAATCAACCTGGGACCAGGTAGTCTACCCTAAGGTCCTGAAGAAAACTAACGATATAGTTCAATTCATCACTGACGAGCCACAACCCCCACCCCACTCACCATGACATCATGACGCTTTCATCGATTCATTCATGACCCCGCCCCGGAGAACATCTGACATGCCATGGACCGGGACATAATAATAATAACAATAATAATAATACATTTTATTTATAAGCGCCTTTCAAAATACCCAAGGACACTTTACAATCAAAAGAGCAATAAAACCACAGATAAAATTATAAATAATAAAAGCGATGAGTTTAAACTGTATATGCAATTTTAAATAGGTGGGTTTTAAGATGAGTTTTGAATATAGGAAGAGAGTCAATATTTCGGATGTCGGGTGGGAGTGAGTTCCAGAGTTTG